ATGCGGGGACGCCGTTTTGACACGATTGAGGAGATAAAAACCGAATCGAAGAAGGTCTTGAAGGCTATACCGGAAAAAGACTATTCCGACTGTTTCGAGGACTGGAAAAAGCGTCGAAAACAGTGCGTTTTATCGGACGGGGATTACTTTGAAGGGGATGAAATTGATTTGGAAGAATAAACAAAGAATTTACATTTTATAAACAAATTCACCTTACTTTTTGATCACAGTAGTATACATAATATTCGAAATTTGTATTTTAAAATTCGAAATATTTGAAACTTCAAATAAAACATTCAATTCGACGAAATATGAACAACTAAAAGATGTAAATCAATATTTTTCTACAAGCTACTTAGTAAAAGAATCCCAATTAATGTCCGCGTAATACTTGTTGAAAATTACACGAACATTAAAATTACAGTGGTCAGTTTCGTTTCTTTCCTTTTTTACGAGTCAAGTCGCCGAGTTCAATTTCTGCAGAAGTCGTTAACGATGTTCGAGACTACCAGGAAATTTCTTTTCTCGTAACTCGAAGGACCTATGAATTACGTATTTTTAAGTTTGCGGTATGAATAATGAAATGATATCTTATTCGTGAAAAATTGCGGAAGATTTCAGATGATCGAAGAAACCGATCTCTAATATATATTGTAAAAGTTGCTTGTCATTTAGCTGTTCAAAGCATTAATTAATCGATGCCTTTACTCGACCAATGTTAATCGATCATAAATTCTGTCACTCCTACATCAAGACATTCTTGAATATGGAAAAATTATTTCTTTAAAAGTTATTATGTCACAAGTTGAAGTACTCTCATAATTTTTACAAAATTATTGTTATTTACGATAAAAGTTACATCTCAGGCTCATCCAAATTCATTTGGATATATTATTCTAATTATTAAATACATCAGAGGTAATATGAATCATTTTTTAAAATAAGTGAGTTAAAATTGATTACGATTACCCTTATCCAAATTCATATTTGGATATTATTCTAATTATTAAATACTTTAGAGGTAACATGAATCATTTCCTAAAATAAGTGAGTTAAAATTGATTACGATTACCCTAATCATTATAGCTGATTATTTTACTATCTTTCAGAATAAATAGCTCATATGCGACACTGAAGTCGCGTGCTCGCGATTTACGATGTTAGACTCTTTACAAGTCGTGAATCGTTTCATAAACGATGGTATAGTACGACAAAGACATATGGTACACGATTTCAAAATGAAAGAGATAAATTCACGCAGACATTGAATTATACGAAAGAAAAATGATTCTATAGTCTTCATCGGTCTATTATTGACAAGAGAGTAACATTTTTTCATTACTATCAATTTGTTCGTAAACTTCATAACTTCGTAGAAGATGCTGGCAGATCCCTTTAAAAATGTCATCATTATTCCTCACTCGAAGTCCCAGGGAATCGATTTTCCATATTTATGAAGCACTTTTTATTCACTTTAGACGGTGCTATTACTTTGTAGCCTCCTGAGAATTTTTATGTCTCTTGCATGGAAGGAGTTTTACACAGTTCAAATTCAAAATGTTTTTCGGAGCATTGAATGATCTATTTGCACACATGAAATATCTTCGCTATGAAATGAATTATAAGCGGAATAATCATTTATTTAAACACATTTCACGTTAAGTTGTTCGCGAAGTTCCTGCGATTTCGAAGCACAAACCTGACACACGTTGCAATTTGTATAAATTTCGAAAGATTGTAAATTTGATTCATTTCTAATTCCTTAATTGTCATCATTAACTTTACGATCGCAGTGACATGATCTATTTGATTCCTCGTTCACTAAAATTCGCAACAGATTATTTTATAATTTTTCAGTGTCCAATTTGGTTTTATGATTCTTCACGCTTTTCACTTCATACTTTTACGAAAAAAAATGGATCGTCATACCAAACGAGATTTTGTATAATAAATTAATAAATGAACTAAAATAATAAATACGTATTTACTGATAAATAAAAATATTTACTAATTTTTTATTTAAACTCTGGTAGTTCGTGGAGAGTATCATAACTGGACGCTAACAAACCCCGACTGCAGTTAAAATTTGCATGCAAATAGAGCATATTTGCCACGTATTTTTTCGTGGGAAAAATAGCATTTAAAATAGAGGGTGAAAAACGAATTTCAGAAAATATTTTTAAAGGCAATAGAGGTAGAAAGTAATATTACGTATACAATTACTTTTCTTCGTGCAATAAATAAAACTACGTTAGTAAAATTTTTTTATTTATCGGACTTTATAGATATCTATTATTTATCTATTATAATTTATTAATAATAATAATATATATATTATATTTTATTATTACATTATATATATATAATTATATTATTATTAATAATAATATAATTTATTATTTATTATTATCTATTTATAGATATTTTAGTTATCGGACTTTATAGATATTTGCTATAATTTAAATTAACATTCATTCCTGTTTCTATAATATTATTTACTTAAACCCACCTACCCAGTGATCAGTTAATGTTTAACATAAAATTTCATGATCGTATCTCACGCGAGATAATGCTAAAATAATATTGGTTTATCCACTTGAAAAAATGCAATTGCAAAGAATGGTTCGTTCATTACCAACTGCAGTAAATTCTCCCTAATTGACGCTCAGCTTATGCACAAAAATGGACAATTTGGGAAGAGGAGATACGGTTATTCCAACCTTACGGCTCGTTTTCATAATTGTTGACAATCGATAACTATAAAAACGAGTCGCAAGGCTCGAATAATCGTATCTACTCTTCCCAAATTGTCAATTTTTGTGTCCAATCTGAGCGTCAATTTGGGAGAATTTACTGTACTCGTATAAAGTTAAAAGGCGAACGCGGCTTGTTAATTTCGAAAATCGACTTTTTCACTTCAATTAGTAGTAACAGACATAGAGTCAAGCAAAAATTTAAAGCAGCGATGTATATACATTCTATGATACAGTGAGTGTATTACGCAGAGGCAGATTCACCTGTTGACAACATTAAACGTAGTTTTTCGAAATAATCTTCGCAGCTATTTGGAAATATTGAAGAGCATATGGAACCGATTAGCTTGATATTTTAACTCAGTGCTAAGAAACAGTTATTTGATCTACAGACTTTACCTAAAGTCAAGACAATATGTCGTAAATTCTTAAAGTGTAC